ATGCTTGGTTTAGGTGTTATTATCCCCTACAATAGAGGCAAACTGCTCTGTGTATGTCGAGAATCTTAAGGTTTCCCAATTCTGGGTCTATGTGAGTAGCAGGCACTGTTATTCAGTCCTTTTGTGCGGGTTTCCACCTGGCCTTAGGTAGTTTACTCACATGCATACATACGCTTTTCAGTATTCTGCTGAACACTCAAGAAGGACTATCTTTATTTATTTTTATTTTTATTTTCACCCAGGCTGGAGTGCAGTGGCATGATCTCGACTCACTGCAACCTCATCCTCCCAGGTTCAAGCAATTCTCCTGCTTCAGCGTCCCAAGTAGCTGGGACTATAGGTGCATGCCACCATGCCTGGCTACTTGTTTTGTATTTATATATATATATATATATATATATATATATATATAGAGAGAGAGAGAGAGAGAGAGAGAGAGATGGGGTTTCTCCATGTTGGCCCAGGCTGATCTCGAACTCCTAACCTCAAGTGATCCACCTTCCTCAGCCTCCTAAAGTGCTGGGATTACAGGTGAGCCACCATGCCCAGGGAGAAAGTCCTAGTGTTTTCTCTCTGTGAAGCACTGTCAACTCCAGTACTCTTCTCTGTAAACTCCAGCTGCCTCGGTCTCCTCAGACTCAGCTTCATCTACTCAACATGAGGAGTCCACTGGGCTCTGCCTGCATTTGCCCTCTCATGCTGTAGACTGGAACTTCTCTCCAGGCAGGAAGCTCAAAAATCACCAGGCCCATCTCATTTACTTCCCTTCTCTCAAGGATCACTGAGTGTTGGCTGATGTCCGGTGTATTGTGTACTTTTGTTTCATATATTTTGTCCTGGGATGCGGGGAGGGAGGTTAGGTGGGAGGATAAATCAAGTTCCTATTACTCCATTTTGGCCAGAGGTGGAAATTTGGCATTTACTCTCATTTTAGTGGGGTTTTAGATAGGATAAGAAATAATACATGTGCTCATTCCACTGTATTGACCCACAAGCACATTGTACATTTTTTTAAAAAATGCTGCTGCTTCTGGCATTGTAGCCTCTAACACTTAGTTCATGGTTTTGTTAATTATTTGTCCAAGTTTATATTCTCTAAATGGACTTTTTGAGAAGTGAGAACTGTGTCTCATTCACTTTGGGATAGTCTCAGTGCTAAATTGAAGCTCTATAAATGTTTGTTGACTGGATTAGTGAGTTAATACTATTATTGTCTTATTGGTAAAATTGCAAGTTAAAAGAGTCAAGACTGAAGGTAAGAGTGCTTTTTAATTAAAACCTTTGTAGGGAAATGCAATTTACCCTTCAGGACATTATTCTTTTCAGGCTGCAGCTTTTAATGTTAACATTAGCACCCTCTTCAGCCTTTGTGGCAGGAAACACTTCTTAAAAATGTTGTCACACATTTTCTGGTAGAATGTATATGCAACATTTGGGGGAATTTTGTTCTTGGCCATTTATCCTGGTCATTTTCTAACCTGATCTCAATGTAAAAGTTATTGTGGAATAACAGAAAGATGTATGTTTCCAATCCATCTATTCTCTTGTTTAGGGTGTATGTGAAATACCAATTTAATCTTTTAAAGGAACCTTAAGGTTCCATATATAATTATAAATACAAATAGGTATATTTTAAGTTCAAATTTCCTCAATTTTTCTCCTGTTCTAAAGAGTGTACAATTGTATCATATGTTCTCTCAATCTTTCAAAGTTTTAGAAGCTGAGAAATTAGAGCAAGATCATCAGAATATGTCACTTGTTGATTCCTTTACTTATAAAGGCAGCATTGCGTAGTGATTCCAAATACTGTGGAGCCCGATGGACTGTGTACAGCTCCACCTTTTACTGGCTGTGTGGTCTTGAGCAAGTCACTAAATCTCTCCAAGGGTGTCTTTCCCTGTGTAAAAGGGCTTAATAATAGTACATTCTAGGGTCATTAAGAAGATTAAATTGGTTAATGTTTACAAAGTGTTTTAAATGGTGCATGATATTCATGGTAAGTGTTATATAAGCATTAGTTTAAGCAAAATAAAATATAGTGAAATTGAATAAAATAAAACTAAAGTGTTATTTTATAAATCTTTCTGCATTTAATTCTTCTGACTTTCCCAAGAAGTAAAAATTACACTCTTTATGAAGTTATGTCATACTTTAATAGCTTGCATTTTTGGAAATCAGTTGAATATTGAGGGGATAAAGAACACTTCTAGTTTTCCTTCAAGATCTTCTACAAAACAGTGACGCCTCAATGGGTATGAGATAAAACTTGCAAGGCTTTGCTACTTTTCTCACAGGGTCGATTTTAGCAAGGTTTTGCACTTGGTACCTTTATTTTTCCTTCAGTCTAAACTTTCGGTTGTCCATGATTCAACCTTAAATTCCATCTCTGAACGTCCCCTTCCTCACCACCAAGTTGATTCTAGAGATTTTTCCCATCATGATGTTCAAGATCTTTTTTTTTTTTTTTTTTTTTTTGAGACGGAGATCCACTCTGTCACCCAGGCTGGAGTGCAGTGGCATAATCTTGGCTCACTGCAACCTCTGCCTCCCAAGTTCAAATGATTCTCCTGCATCAACTTACCAAGTAGCTGAGATTACAGGCACCCACCACCACACCCAGCTAACTTTTGTATTTTTTTAGTAGAAATGATGTTTCTGCATGTTCGCCAGGCTGGTCATGAACTCCTAAGCTCAGGCGATCCACCCACCTCGGCCTCCCAACGTGCTGGGATTGCAGACATGAGCCACGTGCCTGGCCCAAGATCTCCTCTTATCTCATGTTGTCTATTACCCAGGACACTTTAATACCATAAATATGTTTTCTAACCTTATTGAGTTCTTTTCTAATTTAACATCCTTATTTTCTATAGTGTTCCAATTATGAGCATCTGTGACTTGCAGAATTTGTCAACTTGTTAGAGACAGACATTTGATTTAGCATTCATTTCCATTTTTAAGCTTATCTGTCTTTTTTATTTGTGTTTGCAGAATTTTCAATTTCTCATCAATCTCTCTGGGTTACTATTAATGTCCTAGCATCTCATTGTCCAGATTATTAAGAAGTTAAGAAAGCTTAGTCAGCAGTAGATGGTTGACTGTATTTTGTAAATATAAGACTCAGCTAATCACTCTTTGAAATTTACAGGGGCATTATTTACTTAATAGTTTTAGTATGTTTAATGCCATCTTTGAGAGACTTCTGTGCACAATCTCTTATCATCTCCATGTATTTGTTTCTAGCTGGGTGTTTGAGGTTAGATAGGCTCACAAGGAGTTTATAGAAACAATGATGCATCAAAAATTCACATCTCATAATTAGAGTAATTTTCAGTACAGCCCAGTCCTGTCCAGAATCAGGAGACTTGACAGGCCGCAAACCAAAAGGGCATTTGAAATACTTACTGCTCATCCCTCCACCTGCTCCCCCATGCCGGGGCAGGCGCTGTGGTGAGCGTGTGGATGGCACAGGCTCTGCGGGTGTCTGACTAGAGAGCCTCAGTTACGTGCTCTCCACCTCATCACACAGCAGCCCCGTGTAATAGAAATCACTTATTATGAGGGTTGGCTAAATAAAGGCACATTGTGACCGGTCACAATTCCTAAATGAATCCTCCTGACTGATCTGGTTCTGACACTTTCAAAGCTGCTGTTATCACTGAACATGAACATGTGGAAAGAATAAATCAAGACAGGATGATAAAATTCTTAAATGCTTTTGCTTAAAATTATTCATTCTCTAGTATGTGTGTAAATGGGGACACATACACACACTCCACATACACTCTTGCATATGAAACGGTTCCCTAGGTGCACTTTTATCATTTTATCCCATCTCACTTTGGTAGTTCCTGTTGTAGTCCTTCTGTAGACTAATTCTCTAAATACTTAGAAAAATAAGAGAGTCTTTTATCTGTGTGTAGTCGTGGATTTTGCTGCCTCTTAAAGCATTCTCTTTTCTGAGTTCTTAAGTGTTAGAAGTGGGAAAGCCATCTTTCTTTCAAATTTAGCAGATAGCATTTCTGTGCATATGTACTTAAACCATATACACACTTACACTGTAATAGATACATCATGGAGAAGCAAACCATAGGCTTTTAGCACTGTCAGGCATGAGCTCTTTCCCTCTCATCTCCACCTGGAAAGATGTTTAGGAGAATGGGAAGCCTCTCTGGGTGTGTATTTATAAGCCTTGCTGGAAAAAAAAAGTCGATTATTTTTTAGACTCAGATCACACCATAATAAATGTGAATATAAACAATCACTTAAGTGCTTTCTAAGCACTGGCTCTATCTATGATCAGACTTCCTTCTTTTATTTAGTAAAAAGCTAACAAACAAGAATAGAGTGCCCTTTGCATGTTTCATATTTTTACTCATTATGGAGTCCAGTGGTTGAGTAGACTCATCTGATAGCCAAGAGAAGCAAACAAAATTGATTTCCTGTAGCCCACAGTGAGTTTCCCTAGATTTAGAGAGCAGGTGATTCTAAGACGGATGTGAAATAAAACTCGCAAGGCTTTGCTATTGAGAGACCTGGGCATGCGGCGGAAAAACCAGTTGCCGTCCTTGGGAAAGCGAGGCCTCTCTGCTCCTTGAATGAGCTGTTTTAGGATGTTGCTCATGTGCAAATATTGCACTTACCGCGGTGTAAAATGTCAAGCCATCACATCCCTGGGATAGAAAAAATTAAAGGATTTGTGTTTGTAAAAACATGTGCCTATCAAGGTAAGTGATTAGGGTACATGAAAGAAAGAAAATATGGAGACGTAAAAATTGTGGGTTCTGCAATCAGACCCTCTGGATTTAAATCCTACCTCCACTTGCTGAGTGATATTGGGCTAGTCATTGAACCTCTCTGAGCCTCAGCTTTTTTCCCTGTGAAGTGGGGAAACTAATAGATAACCATAGGTTTATTGTATTAAATGAGTTAATACATACAAAACAATTCACACATAGTAAGCATGAAATAAATTCTAATTATCATCATTGTTATGCACTAAGAAAGGATTTTTGCAACTAAAGTATCAAAAGAAGTGAAGATGCTAAGGAATTCTTTGGCTTTACAAGATGAATTCCATACAAAATGAGGCCGTCAGACAACCAGATTCCATATGACAATGAGAAAGTTCCCGCACAGTACTTCAGGCTTCATCTAGGGAACATGTTTAAAGGTACCAAGAATTTTTGTGTTTTTTTCCAATTTCAGCAAATAAAATTCTCATTCCTTTCTGTCTGTCTCTCTGCCAGTGCTGTTGCTTTCTCTTACTCTATAGTCAGTGTTTCTCTTCCTAGTTTCTTTTTTTACAACTAGTTGTGAATTCTTTATTCTCTCACATAGACATATGACAGTAGGGGAGGAGGGCATGTGCATTTCCTCAATGTTAGCAGGAAGTCTGTCTTGCCATCTCCATAGAGTGGAAAATTCAGCAGGTAGAGCCTGCTAATGTCATTCCCCTTTCAAATCACATTCAAAAGTGTACTTAATACACGATGTACATTAATCGGACATTTTGATCTTGAGTAATGGTGATGCCTTCAGAAGTTTAGGGTGGGGGCATGGGTTTTATATATGCTGGAAGGGTCCCTAAGTCCTTGGGTGACTTTGGAGCAGTCTCTATGGGCGCTCCACCCATATCCACTGCATCTTTGTCAGACATATGGCCCCTAGGCTCCTGGAACCCACTTTGTCCATAGGCATGGAAAGGTGAAAGTGCCTAGGAATTCATATCTCTCTGGGGGCACTCTTAAGCAATGGCTGTTGGTTATATGGGTATAAATACCCGAACTCCCTCACCACTTGGCTAAAGTAATTCCAAGCCACATACTTTGCAGTTTTCCAGAGTTACCCTGTGAGATTCAACTGCTGTCACCAGCTGTGGTAGCTCACTTAATAATGCATCCTATGTTGTGTGGCCACCTTTCCTTCTCTGTCTCACTTCTCCCTCACTACCCAGGCTCTCTGTGTCTCTCGATATACCACTCACTTGTTCAGGGTCACTTCTGGAGTTTCCAACCCCAGACAATGTGCGCACTTTCAGAGGTAGAGGGAATCTACTAAGTCTAGACCCAGGTATCATCAAAACTACGCTGGGCCCCAAACTGGCAGCATGCATTCTGGCAGAGCTCTGCTTTTCCCAGGTTTGGAATTCCGCTGACTCAGACCCTGATTTGTCATGGAGGCAGACCTGTCAAGGTCTCATCAGAGGAGCTGCTAGGGAAGTGGACCAGGATCACAGCTGCCCATTCTCTCACCCCACCTATCTTCTGCAGAGTGGCCCATTTGTGCTTTAGGAGGAAGAGTGCAGGAGCAGTGGTCAGCATGCTGTGAACGTTACTTTCTGAGCATGGGTGGGTCTCGATAAATGCTCCTGTCCACTTCATTCCCTCTTAATAGACCCATCAAACAAGAGCTCGTTGTTTTCCAGCGCCAGCCTAGGTAAACCAGTCATCTTGTGCCCCAGCGTGTCAAAGAAAACGCCTGCTTCCCAGAAGTTTCCCACTAATGGGGAAAGAACTTGTTCACACAGCCTTTTATTGTAAACCAGCTCATTCTTTGGCAATCTGAAACCAAGACTGCACATTTAGCCAGGCGGGTCTTTTCAAAGCATGTCCTTTACCATAGTGTCCATTGCATTATGTCTTCTTTCTTGTTTTGTGTTATCATTTTTGTGACGCATTAATGCTCAGTGCACAAACTGAAGCTATGTGGCATCCGTATCATGGTGTATTAGGATTCCAAAAAAACATGCAATCCCTGAGCAGACAATAAATTTGATTTTGCACAAGTGGCATCCTTTATACTTTGCTCATAAGGCAATCTCTCAAGTGTATTTTTGTTTGAAACACAACACAAATAGTCTAATGAAGTAAAAATGTGTTGCATGATGGGTTTTGTGCTCAGCAAAAAGAACTTGGACAAAGCAGCCATGCTGATGTTCTTATTTACAAAGGTTGCCATCTGGGAAAATAATGTCTGCTGTTGCTCAGTAATTAGGAAAATTTAGGACCCCTAGTGCTCCAACATCTTGCATTAAAGGCTGTATGTCATCGGTGTTTTCATGAGAATTTGCAGGATTTCTGTCATTAATAACAGGCATAAGCCCAGCAAGCAGTAGAATATGCATTACATTTAATCAATTTGCTATTTGTATTCATTATGCATGTCGTCCATTTTGAGTCATGAAAAATTGAAAGGCCATTACGAATAGAAGGAGCATCATGGATTACAAATGATGTAACAAGAGCATAAGCGCTATTAATTGGTCAATTGTGCTTGTCGGTACATTTAAAGTGATTAAGGCAGAAAGATTAGAAAGGACACGAATTGCTTGGGAAACAGAAGCATCGCAACACAAGGGCTTTCCCAAGTCCTTTGTGCCCAAGTAAATGCAGCAAAACCCAATGGCATTTATTCAAACTAATTCATTCGACGGATATTTGTTGAGCACTTACCATGTGCTGAGTACAAGAATTGTACTGAGTACAGCAGAAAATAAAATAAATGAAGCCCTTGACCTCAGGGATTTACATTCCAGTAGGGAGGGGGAAGTATGAAATGAACAAATAGATATGCAGTGTAATATATTGTAGTAGTAGAGACCTTGAAGACCACAAAAAGCAGAGAAGGTCTCTTTGGGGAAATGACATTTGAACAGAGGTATTAATGAAGACCATAAAAAGACAGGGGGCGTCAAGCACAGTGGCTCCTGACTGTATTCTCAGCACTTTGGGAGGCCTAGGTGGGAAAATCACTTGAGCCCAGGAGTTTGAAACCAGCCTGGACAACGTGGTGAACCCCGTCTCTACAAAAATACAAAAATTAGCCGGGCGTGGTGGTGCACGCCCGTAGTCCCAGCTACGCAGGAGGCTGAGGTGGGAGGAATGCTTGAGCCCAGGACATGGAGGCTGCAGTGAGCCGAGATCGTGCCACTGCACTCCAGCCTGGGTGATAGACTGGAACTCTGTCTAATAAAAGAAAAATAAAATTAAAAGGCTATATGGACATCTGGGAGAAGAATTGACTCCACAGCCCCCTCTCTCGTCTCAACACTCAGGAAGAAAAGAAAATTCTTGCAATTATTTTTTTACTCAAGTGATTTTGTGAGGCTTGATCCAATAATGGAATGGCTTCCCAGGGCTAGAAAATTTACTCAGCCCATTTCCTATTACAGACCTCTCTTGTGATAGCACTTCTGTTAAGGTGAAAACTGATGGCATCATTTGCCATTTTTACTATCTCCATGCATAGCCCTTCCCATGGCATGCAGAACCCCGTGCCGCCCAGCCCTTGCGTCCCATTTCCTACCACTCCTCCTTCTCCTGCCAAGTACTGGCCCCTAGACTTTCTGTTGCTCACATTTCCAGCTCGTTCCTGCCTCTGCACCCATGCATTTGCTATCTCCTACCCTCAGAAATCCAGAACTAAGCTCCCAGGCCACATCACAGAGGCCCTCCATGACTGCCAGGGCTGCACCTGTTCCCTGGCCCCTGTGATTTGATCCTCACCACCCTCATTGCCTGAATTCTGTGCTGTCTGCTTTCTTGTTTCTTACCTACCTTCCACGTTTTAATGTGAGTTCCATGTGACCAGGCACAGGTCACTTGAGCTCACTGCAGTATCCCATCATGGGGAACAGTGCCTGGTATAAAGAGGTTCAGTATGCCCAAATTGAATGAATGAATGAGTGGATCAATCTATCAGACAACTAGCCAAAAATAAAATGAAAAATTGAGAGTTGGGTTTCTGCTTTTGTATTCAGCTATTTTAAAATTTTTTCTTTAGGTAGCTATTTTTTTAAGCCACATGGAAGAAAGGGATGTTTGTTCTGCACAGCATTCTCTGGAGGAATTAGGTAGCACTGATTTTGCTTCACATGTCTGCAATCCATTGCCATGCGTTTCTGAATAACTTAATATTCCTTTTCAGTATACTGACTTGTTTTTTTTTTTCCTTTTTTGTTTTTACTGACTAAATGCTATGGCATTGTCTTTGAATATTAACAGGTAATGGAACATGGGCCCAGGGCAAACCATGGCGAACTCGTGTTCCAGCAGTCCTGCTTCTTTCGAATTGACATTCTGGCTTCTTGCTTAATTCACAGCATCTGACGAATGCATCAGAAGAGGGTGATACTGTGGCGTAAGGATACCAGGATTCCAAATTCATTCCAGATACAGTTGGTGCATCATGCACAGCAGACTCATGAGTCTCTGTCCTGTACCAGACTCCATCGCAGGTGCTAGGGATACCAGGCAGAGGACACAACGTTGGCAGCTATCAGGAAGACCTGACAGTCAACAACTGTGCTTCCAAAAGCACCTGCACATTAGACTTCCTTGGGGGTCTGCTATAATATACCTGTGCCTAAGCCCTGTCCTAAGCCAATGGAATCAGAATTTTTGGGCCTAGGGCTGGCACACCCGTCTTTTTTAAGCCCCAAGTGCTATCCATGGGCAGTCAGGGCTGAGACCCCTGCTGGAGCAGAAGGATGGTACACAAGTAAGAAAACCACAGACCAATGGGCAAAGGTCAAGCTGCGTGGCAGGTGTGTGGGCTGGAAGTGGTGATACTTCTCTTCAGTGCATAATCGCTACTCAGAACAAAATCTTTGTAGGGATCAGGAAGCTAAGTGACCTGGTATTAAGCAGTAGATAAATGCTGCATCTAGTCATCACCACCCTCAAAAAAAACCTGACTAGAAATGGCAAATACCATTCATTAAATGTTTATTTTTCCTGTGTGAGGTCAAACAAATAATCTTAGTATTCTATATATACCCAAAATGGGATGTTGTATACTAAGTCAAATAAAGAATTTAATGGAAAGATAATGTCTTTCCTAACCAGCAGGTATGAGAGAAAAGAAAATAAGAGAATCTTCCTGGTAACTATCGGGGGAAGGAATTAACATGTTCTCTAAGACTACGTTAAGAGGGCAGAGCCCAGCACAGTGGTTTATGCTGTAATCCTAGCACTTTGGGAGGTTGAGGCAGGAGGATCACTTACTCCCAGGAGATCAAAGCTGCAGTGAGCCATGATCCCACCACTGTACTCCAGCCTAAGCAATAGAGCAAGACCCTTTCTGAAAAATAATAGTCAGAATTTCCTGAAGTGGAACAGTAAAGTTGATGTGAAACTCTCTCCCTCAGATACCCTCTGCCTTTGAAGGTGGGCATTAAAAGGTTTAGATTGGGAAAAAAAAAAAAAAAGCAAATCTTTCTGGGTAATTAATTGATGTTTATATTATTCATTTGAAGATCAAACTTTGCTCCTTCCCTTGCTTGAACACAGGTGAAAATAACAGGAAAATGATAATTTTGTAAGGACCAAATTATTACTGAGTGGTACTTCTGAGTGTGTGGCAGAAAATTACATCTTTTGTCAAGTGATAAACTCTGATTTTTTTTTTTTAAGCAAAGTTTGTGATCTAGTAAGCACTTTGCAAAACTTAACATGCTCTGTGAAAGTCTGTACACAGAGTGCGTAACTGCACACTTCAGCCACACTTACTCCAGCACATTCTACGGCCCTCCACGGGGGAGCAGCAGCTTCCACCTACAGGATGAATGCAGATGAGTGCCTTTGATGCTGGGAGCAGCAGCCACCCATATCTCCAGATACCTGTCCCTCTGCTTCTGCCTCCTTGGATTTTACAGTTACCAAGAGTTAATGATGATCTTCAGAAATGTTCACAGTTTCAGAGGCACCACATCCTTACATTTTTAAAGAAAGCAGTATTTTACAAAACACAAGGATGACTTGAGAACTGCAGGAGGATCTAGCAGCCCTTTGTTGGGAAATGAAGTTAAACAACAGGATCGGGTCTCAGAAGACCTCCCTGGCTCCCCCAGGACATGCTCCCTTCTGTGAAGCAGCAGTTCTCAGCCCTTGCTGCTCATTGAAGTCACCTGGGGTGCTAGAATAAGACTGATGCCTGAGCATCTCACTCTGTCGCCCAGGCCGGAGTACAGCGGCGTGGGTCTCACTCTGCCGCCCAGGCCGGAGTACAGCGGCGTGGGTCTCACTCTGTCGCCCAGGCCGGAGTACAGTGGCATGACTTCAACTCACTGCAGCCTCGAGCTCCTGGGCTTAAGTGATTCTCCTGCTTCAGCCTCCCAAAGTGCTAAGATTACAAGTATGCACCACTGTGCTGGGCTCTGACCTTTTAACATGGTTTTAGAGAACATGTTAATTCCTTCCCCTTGATGGTTACCAGGCAGATTCTCTTATTTTCCTTTCTCTCATACCTACTAGGATCTCATACCTATGCCAGAGATTCCTGGGAAGGAGGGGCGGTGTATTTTGGAAAAGCTCTCAGGTGAATCTGAACTGCAGCCATGGTTGGGAACCATCGATGTAGCCCCAGATTAGTGACTGAAATGGGTAATAAGAGAAGCAGTGTTGGCAGCACACTCTACCAAGCTCAAGGTCTTGACAGGTCCTGGGGTCAGCAGAGGGCAAAGACTTCATTGCAAAAGTAGAAGGTTTAGTGGGAGAGGGTAAATAAGTATGTGTCCAGGCAAATGTCCCCTTTCTGCTGTCAGCTTCCTGGCTGTCTCTGCCCTGCAGAAAAGGCACTGAGCAGGACAGGGAGTCTGAGGACTTAGACTTCACTTTCACATAAACGCCGGCTTTCAGGTCTCTCCAGAAGTTAATGACATTGTGTTGGGAAAAGCCACTTGCAAATGAAGTAAATCCTTGAAAGAGTCAGACAGTGGTGGGCTTTGTAAGCTCTGCCTTACAGGAGAGCCTGCAGAGGGATTTTGGGTGATTTATGCCGGGATCA